TCTTTCATTTCTTTTGGTAACATTTTGTAGTGAAAATTACAAATGTACAAGTTTTCCACCTCCTTGATTTATTCCTAGGGTTTTATTCTTTTGATACTATTATAAATGGATTTCTTAATTTCCTTTTCAGATTGTTCATTGTTGGTGTATAATGACACAATTGATTTTTGTGTGTTATTTAATATCCACAACTTTGGCTGAATACATTTGCTAGTTCTAACAGTTTTTTCATGTGTGGAATCTTTAGGATTTTCTACATATAAGATCATATCACCTGAAAATAGAGACAATTTTATTTCCTCCTTTCCAGTTTGGATATCTTTTATTATTTCTTTTTCTTGCCTAATTGCTTTGGCTAAAACTTACAGTAATATGCTGACTAGAAGTGGTGAAAGTGGGCATTCTTGCCTTGCTCCTGACTTTAAAGGAAAACCTTTCAGTCTTTCACTATTGACAATATTATCTCTGGAATTTCATATATGGTCTTTGTCATGCTCAGGAAATTTCTTCTTATTCCTAGTTTTTTGTATGTTTTTATCATGAAAAGGTGTTGAATTTTGTCAAATGCTTTTTCTGAATCAATTGAAATGAACATGTGGGGTTTTTCCTAGTGTTTTGTTAATTTGGTATATTTCATTGATTGGCTTTCATATATTGAAACATTCTTGCATTCCAGGAATAAATCCCACTTAGTCATAATGTATAATCCTTTTAATGTGCTGTTGAATTCTGTTTGAGAGTATTCTGTTGAAGATTTTTGCATGAATATTCATCACGGATGTTGGTCTATAGTTCCCTGTCTTTTTCCTTTCTTTCTTGTGGTGTCTTTATCTGACCTTGGTATCAGGGTAATGCTGGCCTCAAAAAATGAGTTAGGAGGTGCTACTGCCTCTTTAGTTTTTCTGGAATAATTGATAAAGATTTGGTATTCTTTCTTCTTTGACCACTATGGTATGTGCTAGCTCATAGTGTTATTTTTCATCACTTGGCTTATCAAACTTTGTCTCCACTCTCCTGTGTTCCTGACTTAAATTTTTGCTGCAATTGCGCTTTTCTTTCTTTCTTTCTTTCTTTCTTTCTTTCTTTCTTTCTTTCTTT